TGCTGTGAATGTTAATTGTTAACTATCCTGTACCCACCATTATAAAAGAGGTGTCTCTCTGTTTTACTTTTTATCCAGTCCCGGAGATTTCCCCACTTTGCCTTCTCCTGCCCCCTTAATCGACCACCAGTGGACTTCATGGAACCCTCTCTACGTCCCCTCCTTTGATTGTAATGTATAAAATATGCTGAAAAACTGCCATTCTCCAGGGCATTTTCTCGATCCATTGAGATTTTGCCTCCCAGCAATTGTCATCACTTGAACACAAATAAGCTCATAAAAATTCCTGCAGGTTTGGATATTTTTTCCTGCTCTCCAGGAACAGATCCTGCTCCACTTCACCCCACATACATCAGTAGGCTCCACCAGGGCCTCCAGCCAACCCTCCAGTCACAGCAATTAGTCCAGGATGGCCACATGACCCACTCCTCCTTAGGAAAGCCTTTGGGTCCTAAGAGCAGAAGCGTTCAAATCTGGGGTTGCCAGGAGCCCCACTTCCCACCGTGGGGAGAAAGCCTGGTCCCTGCCAGTTTACATCGCTAAGCACATACAAGGGACTGGGGAAAAGGAGAGTGTCCTAATACGCCTGAAACCCTCGTCCCTGTGGTCCCTAAAGCTGCCCTGTCCTGCAGCTCTTATATGACCCTATGGGCACTGCCGGGGCTTCCTTCCAATTGATCACCTCTTTGGCCTAAGCTAGTGTGAGTTGGGTCTCTGTCACTTGCAAACACAGATCCCTGACTAACAATCGCCCCATCCTGCCCAATGCCTCGCACTGGGGGGAGCCCATGGAGGCAGCAGTGCCTGGCTTTGAACAAATGAGTAAATTAGAGCCAAGACTGGGGGGTGAGGCAAACTGAAGGGGCTCCAGGAAGCCTATTCCACCTTCCAGAATGTGCCGACCTGCTCCCACCAACCAGCAGACATTTAAGGAGAAGCTGAGCAACAGAATGGGAGTGCTCAGACAGGAGGGTTTCTCTAAAAGATATGAGAAAGAATGGAGCACATGGTCCAAGGGAGTTTGGTCTTCCTCAGATGGTCCACCCTCAACCATCCCAACCCTCGGGCTTCCCTCCACACCACTACTCCCCAGCGAGAAGGGGGGGAGGGCCCATCATTTAGTTGCTTAGGATTATCATGCAGCCAGAACCCAGAGTGTGGCCTGAATGAGGCTGCCACCCCTCTAGCACCAGGAGCAGGATGGAGCCTGTGAGTCAGATGGGCAGCCAGATGCCCACCCATGAAAAGGGCTCTCTACCTGGGACCCAGTCCAGGCCTAGCACTCCGAGAATAAAAATGTGGACTTCCATGGAAACTGTGCCTTGTCAACAGCACACTTCAGCCTCACCTGAATCTGATTCTAAGAAACTTCTTTACAACTGAGAGCACTGCTGATGACTAACAGCAAGGGCGATGCAAAATTCTCATCTACAGACACGCAAATTCTGTCTCCCTTCCACTCTGTAGAAAATACCAATATTGTCTATTTGCACATCCATTTCAACATTTCTGATCTATGAATGTTTCTGTTCTTTCTGTTCTCTTTTGAAAGGGTAATAGCATCCGTCTGCTTCCACACCCAATTTTATTTTATTTTTATCTTAGGGTCTTCAGCCCCAGCTTTGGACGGAGGCTCCCAGCACTAGAGGGCCTCCTTAGCCCCTTCCCCTCTGCGCTTCCTCCCCCTTCCCACCTGCTGGCTCCAGCGGCCAACCTGGCTCTCCCACTAATGGGATCAGTACTCAGCTGTGTGGTCAGCTGTGTGGTCTTAGGTTGGGCCAGTTATTTATAGAGCGTGGGTGGGTGGTCCAGAGCTCCAGTGGGGGGTGGGGGGGTTCCTAGCATAGTCATCCTCTCTCCCTCTCTCTTTCTCAAACAGCCTCACATAGTAGTCTTTGCTTTTTGAGTCCAAAGCCACATGCTTTGTAAGGAATAAAAGAATTAATAACCAAACAAAGAGGGGGCAAGGGGCAGACTTCCTGGAAGCCCCTCCCTTCCCTGGGGCTCCTGAAATTGGAGCTGATTTCTACCCCTGCCCTTTTCCTAACACCAGCATTTCAGACAGAAATCTGCTGTCTTCCCTCTTTCCCATCTCAGTGGATGCTGACCCCCTGCTTCTCCCATGGACACCATCAGCTTCCACACTTACTGATCATCTGTCAGGTGCTGGGCACTGTGCTGTGTGCTCTTGGGGTTCAAATAAGTAGAAGAAAAGTCCCCCACCGTCAAGGACCTCACCTTCAGAGACTTAGACAAAGAACTGCTTATACATACACACTGAGACAATTAATATGGCTAGAAGAATGACAGAACACATTCCCTGAGTGCTCACTATGTGCCAGGCATGTGCTAAATACTTTATACATACAGGGTGTCCCCCAAAATGCAAACACATTTTGATAATTATTCATTCCAATGTATTAAATATGAAAAGGAAAGAAACATCAATTGAGGTATCAGCTGTTAAAGTGTGTATACATTTTGGGGGGACACCCTGTATTTAACCCTCACAAAAAAGCGCAGGAGCAGATCCTATTAGCAAAATATAGAGGCTCTCCGAAGTTAAATATTGTAGCTGACACAAACTGGGGTGTCTGGCCAGCCCAGAACAATTTCTCCAGTGGCCATCCTGTGTCTAGCCCTTTTCTTCCTATGAGTAACTCTATCTCCTTGTCCAAATATGATTGGTCTAAAGAGTGGTCATGTGACCCAAAGTTAGACCAATCAGAGTCTGGCCCTGGGAATTTTTACCTGGGAACTGGAGAGGAAACTTCTTTTGTCTCTGGCCAAGGAACCATGAAGATAGGAGTCAGCCTGATGTTGTTAATGGCCAGAATCCGTCGCATAGAAAAGTTAATCAGAGAGAACTAGGATGGCACAGGGAGAAGGGAACCTAAAAACAGAGTCCACATAAGCCTCTACACTTACAACCAGCTCCACCCTGTCTCTCCCACAGTTTGGCCCATGAGCCAATAAATTACCATTTTTCTTAATCTAGTCTGAGTAGATTTTCCATCAGCCTTAGGACTACCTACAGAGTCCTAAGCAAGGCAGGTACCTGTGCATGGTCACACAGCTAACAAGGGGCTGCTGCGTGCCTCCTAGCAGCCACCTCTCTTACCAGCTATGGCCAGATTATGGACCCCGGACAGCACAGGCAGTGCTGTGCTGTTTTATTCTCCTACAGATGTTTCCAGGGGGACTGGCATGACCATAGGGTTGACACTTCTGCAACTGTTGAGCTCCCAGGAATGTGTTACCACTCCCCTCATGAAAGTCATACTGTTATTATCACAAACCACTTATTGAGAGCTTATGCTACGCAAGGTTCTATGCTACATGCTGTTTAATATTCCCCAAAACCTTACATGGTAAGTACTGTTAATGCTGTTTTAAAAGTGGGGAAAGGAACACTTGAGAAGGTCAGTAACTTGCCCCTTAGGTCAAAAGACAGGAAGAGCCAGAGAGTGTGACCCCAAAGCCCATGCTCTTGGCCAATTCACTCATGTTCCTCTCCTTGCAGTGCTGTGATCAGCTGCATGTCCCTCATAGCCTCCAAGAACTGTCCATGTTAGACTCGGTGGAAGGTGATTCTATCCCAGCCCTGGCCCACGGGCAGTCATCTTTTGGTCTCCTTGAGAATGCAGCGAGCCAACTTCCCCACAAGCCTCAGGTCAGAGGACCCTAACCTTAAGGCCAGTAGAGGCACATACAGGAACCTTTGGCTTTCAAAAAAGGCTCTCCTCGAATTCTTCAGGACCCACCATGTATCTTCTTTCTCAGCTCTTGTGTTCCGGATGAACGTTTATGATGAGCCTTTAAGCTGAGTCACCTGCAGACTCAGAGGTGAAGGCCCCGCCCTGTTGTCTCCTGTTGATGTGGCATTTGCCTGCCCCTCTGCTGCTTGCCTCCTCTTGCCTGGACTGCACAGTGCCCCAGCATGCTGAGTGGGGCCTGGCCCCAAAGTGTCACCCCCTCTACCCAGCTCCATAGGAGAGAACCTGGGGTCCTGCCCACCTTTCCACCATCTGGCTGTGGCCAGCACAATGTCCACCACAGATCCCACTTTCACCTACATCAGTCCCCATCCTTCCCAGAGCCATAGCCACAGGCACGTCTTGCCAGAGAGAAACTGCGTGGGGCCCACCTCTGATGCATTCACCATCCTTCCCTTTCTGGTCTCTGTCATCTCTGCCCCTTTAACTCAGAGGTGCCCACCTGTAGGTCACAAGCCAAATGTGGTGTGTAGATATATTCTGTTCAACATCCACAATAGTTTTTTTTTATTTCAACATTTAAAAATTGGCAGTTTCACATAGATAACTGGATTTAAATTTTCTGTAAGAGGTTTTTTAAAAGCACTTAAAACAACTGTATTTCTGAATTTTCTTGGAACACGTCTTCCTATGACCAGAGCCCTGCATGTCTGTATGAGAGCCACCAGCAGCAGCTGAGTAGCCACCGCACACCTGGAACAGGGCACAGCTCTCTGCTTCGGCAGTCTTCAGTGTGCCTGTGACCCGCATTTTCCTTGCCTGTCAGGTCTCTGTGAACACCCAAGGCCCACACTGGGAGCTGGGACCCTCCTTCCCCCAGCAGATTGACAGCGCCTGGCCAGGATCCCAGCCTGGTGTTGCCCATTTCTCCAGATGAGGTGTCTCAGGAAAGTCCTGGCCACCCCTGACCTAGACTCTGAACATGTCCAAGCCCAGAACCCACTGTCCGAATGCTCCAGCTGGCCAGGGACTAGCGTGGATGGCCTGTGGGCACCCAGCACAGGCATATGCAGCGGAGGTCAGGCTGCAGCCTGGGGTGGATGTCAGGCCAGCTCAGGTCCATTTCACCATGGAACCCACTGTCCAGCTGGACTAAGGAGCAGAGACTCCCATGTCCACCCTGAAAACACCAGGCCCGAGAGAAACGGGGCATTCAGGCCAATTTTGGTGGTCCCACCCCACCTCCTGCACAACCCCCCAGTCCCAAGACTCAGGGACACTCACGATGTTCATGAGGGTCAGGACGTAGTTCTGCACATGCTCCTTGCCGTGGAAGCGCACCACTGAGTCATCCACCGCCAGCAGCACCTCAATGCTGTAGCTGCCAGGCTTGGCATGTCGCCGCTTCCGCTCCGCTTCTCCCAGCTGGCCCCCCACCAGGCCCAGCAGGTTGGGAAGGTCACCCAGGCCAAAGGCTGGAACCAGGATGGGAAGAGACCAAGGTTAAAGCCACATTAGGGGCTGTCACTGTGACACTGCCCACCAACCCACCCCTGCCCCCTGTCACATGAGTCCCTTTTCCTGCTTCTGTAAACTGTAAACCTAAGTAGCATGAGGGTTTGCTCCCCAGGTAATTCATGAGCATGAGCCCCTTTCCTGGCACAAGGGCATGGCTGGTCTTGACAATGAGAAGCAGAGAAATGAAAGCTCACCTGGGTTCCAGTTCCTATCCGGTCCTATCTCACTGAATACCCCGGCCNGACCTGGGTTCCAGTTCCTACCCAGTCCTATCTCACTGAATACCCCGGCCCAAGCCCTGTCCCTTCACTTCTCTGGACTTCCATCTCCCCTCCTGTAACATACAGATGGATAATTGTTGATCTTTTGCCCCACAAGATTGCTATAAAAATCAAAAGTGGCAGTGAGTGGAAACATCTTGATAAAGGAAAAAACTAATATTACTGTAGCTGATGCAGGACATTTTAGGGACCCCTGGAGTATGCCCCAAGCCTCTCAAAACCCTCTAATCACTGCCAGTGACCCAAAATTTCACCATCACAGCTTTGGCTTTTTGGCTAAAAATGAACTATTTATATAACTAGGATTTATTAACTTGTATTATATAATCTAGGAGTTGTAAAACTTTTTCTGTATAAAACTAGATAGGCTTTGTGGGTCATATAGCCTCTGTCTCAGCCATTCAATTCGGCTGTTGAAGCATAAAAGTAGTCACAATAATATGTAAACAAATGAGTGTGTCTGTGTTGCAATAAAACTTTATTGATGGGCCCTGAGGACAGGGCAATAGGAACTACGGGACTCAGTGTTATTGTCTTTTTACTGTCCCTTTGGCTAGGGAGCTATCATGCCAAGGAAAAAGAGCACTAGGCTTAAGGGCTGAATAAATGTGTGGCCACTGGCTTACGGGGGACACCAGAAACGGGCAGCCAGTCGTCTGGGTTATCCCAGCCTGGTGAGCAGGGCTCAGGCCAGTGTCGCCTTCACTTGCCCCTGAAGTCAATGTGTTTCTCTGCAAGTCACACTGCACAAGGGCTCCTGGCAGCCCTGGTGCCTGAGCTCAACAATGTGTACAGCAACCCAGAGACAAAGTCCTGGGAAGGAGGAGGGAGGACCCCCGGGGGGGGAGGAGAAGGTACTCGGGCTCACCGTTGGAGTGAGTAGAACAAGTAACAGTCACTCCCAACCTGCGAGCAGGGCCCGAAGGTTCACATACTGCAAGTGAAATGTGCAACATGACCTTCACAGTTCTCCCTGCTGGTCTGTCAGACGAGGCTCAGAGAGGCTACCTGACTCTTGGTCACACAGCAAGTAAATGGCAGAAGCCCAGAATGTAAACTCAGATCTGCCACTCTCCCATTATCACACCCTATCAGGGCCCACCTGATTTCTCTCTCAACAAAAACATCGAGGGGAGTTTGGGGAGGGCCTGCAGACATCCGTCGTAGGCCCTGGAGATGTCCCAACCACACCCCACCCTTGTCTATGTTTCTCTCTCTTCCTTCAGGCCAAAGTAGATAACCCTCAAACTGTGGAGGGGTGGGCGCAGAGGCTACTAGGAGGCTTTCAGTGAGCCCACCCAAGAAGCCTCAAGAGAAGATAAAATGATGCAGCTGCTCTGAAAAACAATTTGGCAATTCCCCAAAAAGTTAAACATAGAATTAGCATAGGACCAAGAAATTCCACTCCTAGGTATATGCCCCAAAGAATTGAAAACATATGTTCCACAAAAACTTGTACGTGAATGTTCACAGCAGCATGATCATAATAGAAAAGTATGGAAACAACCCGAATGTCTATCAGCAGGCGACTAAACAAAACGTGGTGCGTCCTGCCATGGAATATTACCCCGCCGTCAAGAGGAGTGGAGCCCTGCTAAGGCTCCAGCAGGATGAGGCTTCCATGCAACACGAGAGGAGCCAGTCACCAAAGGCCACATGCTGCAGAGTCCCTTACGTGAGATGTCCAGAATGGGCAAACTGGTATAGGTAGGAGGTAGATGAGCGATTGCCAGGGGGTGGGGGAGAGGGGAACGGGAGTGAATGCTAATTAATAGGTACAGAGGCTTTTATGGGAATTATGGAAATGTTCTGGAATTACATAGTGGTGATGGTTGCACAACATTGTGAATATAGTAAGAAACCACTGAATTGTATACTTTAAAATGGTTAAAGTGGTGGGTTTCATCTCAATTAAAAGAAAAAAAAGAGCAGCCCTAAACCCCAGCCTGGCTGGCTGCCCTGGCTTCTGGCAGCCCCAGCCTCCAGCCCAGAATCGGGAACTCTGGCCACAGGCGCACATGGCCTATTGACATTCAGGACGGAAAGGGAGGGTGGGAAGGAGGTGACACAGAGCAGGACTGCGGGTTAAGGGAGGAAAGGGCAGCATTAGGAGTATGGGAAGCATCCAGGGCACACCTTCCAAAGCCAAGGCAGGGTCCACAGGGAAGTCCCTGAGGGGCTGGGGTGAGGCCAAGGGAATTTCTACCCAGGACTTGGAACAGTTTAGATTTCTCACCAGAGCCCTTGAGAAAAAATCACTTAACTCTTCTTTGGAGCCCATCAAGGGTGTGTGTGTGTGTGTGTGTGTGTGTGTCGAGGGGGATGAGTGTGTGAATGAGTGTGAGTGAACGTTAAGTGTGTGAATGAGTGTGAGTGTGAGGTATGTGACTGGTGTGTGTTGTAGGTGAGTGAGCAAATGTGTGTAGGTGAGTGTGTCAGTGTGGGGGGTGTGTGCATGCTCTCTTCAGGAAGCAGCAGCCAAGGCCACACCCTGAGTGCCACCAGGAAGAGTCTCTCCACCTCCCAAGCTCACTGGTGCAGCTCAGCCACCTCTACTGTGGGGCAGCTAGAAAGTCCATCTGATGGATCCTCTGGTGTCTCCTTTCCTTCCTTGAGGAGAGCTAGACACACCCCATGGAAAAGCACAGCTCATGTGAGTGACACAAACATCATTAAGACTTGGTATCTGTCCTCTAGGACACCCCTACCCTGGCCTGTTTGGAAGAAGGGGACAGTCCCAGGAGAAATCCAGGGGGCTGGGGGATCCAGGAGAGGGGACTTCTGAGCTGGGCTGACACCTGGTCAGGATGGGGACAGACAGAGATGGGGGCAGGTGCTTAGTCTGGGGGAGATTCCTCAAAAGTCTGGTTACTGCAGCTAAGCAGGCGCTGATCAGCTGGCCCAGGCCTCTGAGGCCTTTCTCTGTGTGCCAAGTATACTCAAAGACATGGGATAAAACATTTTGTCTTCAACAGGAATGTTAAATGGAGACAGGCGCATCCAGAAACTGCTCCACACGCCGGCTCAGACTCTCTACTGGTCTTACAATAACGGAGTAAGAGTCACAGGTTTCTAAGAAAGTCTTCCATTGCCCCATCTTTCTAAGGAAAAACCCAGATGGGCCCAGGGCATGGCACTGCCCACAGGCCCATCGCCCACAGGCCCGCAGGAGGTCCAGGGGGCAGCCTGGTGAGAGGGAATCACACCCGATCCCAGGCCTGAACAGCTCCGCCAGCTCAGCGGTCTCGGCTTCCCAGCCACAGAATGTGTCAAGCAATGGGGTTGGTTCCAGGCTCAGAGCTGCGAGCAGGACTTCCCCAGGGTCTCTCCCCAAAAGGGGACTTGGGATCTTTTGATTCAGAACTGGCCTCAAATAAAACGGAGCCCACTGAGCCTTGTCGTTCTTCCCAGCCCTGGTGGAGGGACCCGTGACTGTCACCACCCTGCCCCTGCAATCCACCCCAGCCCCTAAGGCTCTGCCCATCCACCCTCCACTCCAGGCCTGCAGAGCCCTCCTCCTCTTGGCTAGTCCCGGTGCTACGGCTTCTCTTATGAGGACATGGAGAGCAGCTGGAGCTTCAAAGGAGGCACTGTATGTGGGGACAACTGGTTTTCAGGCATTCCTTCACGCTGTGTTCAACCCGCCAGTCCCTGGCTGGAGGGCGTGGTGCTGATGGCTGGATTCCACCCAGGGCCTCCTCCTGTCCTCTTGGCCAAAACCTTCATGACAAGGCTAAGTTGGACTATGATGTTGGCCACAGGCCCATGACCAGCACACATCAAATCCACTGCTTCATTCGCTCAGCCATGGGTCCTGGGTACTACTCTGGTCACCAGGACATTAGGGTGCAGGGATGCCCTAACGTGTCTGTAGTCAGCCTAATAACAATACTAGAATAAGAACCACCCTTCATCAAGCACCTACTATGTGCCAAGCTCCATGCTGGGATTTTCATACACAATCTCAGAGGTGAACAACGATCATCCCTAGTTTATAGATTTGGAAATGAGGCTCAGAGGTGTTAAGTAACTTGCTTAGGGTCACAAAGTAGACAGCAATAGAGATAGGATTTTAAAATGGTCTAGTGGACACCAAGCTGCCCCCGATGCCCTGACACCAAGCAGAGTCCCTCCAAGCGCCCTGAGAGCTTCCTTCTTGTGGCTCCTGGGGGTGGAGTTGAGTATAAGGGGAAAGAGCGGACTGCAGCCATTTGCCTGCTACTTGGGCACAGAATTAGCCTTGCAAAGCGACACTGAGCCCCTCAGAGACCTCTGGAGTCCCAAGTCCCACAGTTCTGGGGTCTCAAGTAGCTCCTCTGGCCCCCAACGGCAGCCAGTTATAATAGCCTCTAAGACCCACTGGGTGCAGTAGGTGCAGTAGGTCTACACTGCCCAGTCCCATTCTACAGATGAGAAGACTAAGGCCAGGCATTGAGAGACTTAAGGCCTGATGTTACCTAAAAACACCCCAGAGGTATGAACAGAGCAGAGCTTGGGGCCCCGCGCACAGCCTACCTTCATTGTGAAGGTCCCCTCCAGGCTCTGCCCACTCCTGCTGGACGACTTCCCGGCGGTACACCACGTGTGTCCTCCCGCTGGCCTCCCTCTCCTGCTGCCCTCGCTCCAGGGGCTCAATGAAGTAGTCAGTGACATCTGTGCGGATGAGGCCCGCCTGAACCGGGAACGAAACGAGCAGAAGAAATGGGGAGAGAGAAGAGGCATGAATACATGGCACAGTACAAGTGAGCATTTGTGACTGCACACGTATGCGAACACACGTATGCGGGCTCTTCTTCCGGGGCCTTGGGGAGGTCTGGGGTCCAGGGGCAACTGGGAGGGGTTGTAAGGAGGCTGTGCAAGGGGGTCCATGCCAACTTCAAGAGAAGCAGACCTGCTTTTACTGTGTTATGCACTCACGGAGTTCTACATAACATTTCACGTAATCAAAGGGTTCCAGTGCTTAAAGGGGGAGGGCTACTGCCATGAGGGGTATGCACACACACCAGGGCACCGCACTCCACCCCAAAGTACTACCACTATCATGTGGATTTGCCTTTACCTGCAGGCAGACAGAGGAGAAATCCCATGGGTAAAGCTTCATTATCTCAAAGGTGGGAGCTGGCTCCCCACTCCATTACAAAGTGCTATTATTTCAGATTTAAAGCATGTTGTATGCAAGCCAGGGAAAGCAGCTGTCTGCTGACAATAAACCAGCCAGAGCAGTGCCCCAGGAGTGTGTGCTCTGTTTTTAATCTAATTTTTTGCCTGCATCAAAATATTCTCTTTAAAAAGTCAGGTATTGGCCTTGGAAATAAAAACATATAACCTTGGCCAAGCCCAGCCAATATGTTATTAGGCCCTGATGAAGGCAATGATCCCAGGGGCAATGGAACCGGTAACTAGATGTATGTGAATGTATGTGTAGCTGCAGGGCCCTCACCCCAACACACACACACTCACACACACACATACATGTCAGCTCTATAAAACAACTAAGAGCAGCCTACCTACCACAGTGCTGGAAAATAGTAGGCAATCCTTAATAAATATATATTTGTTGAATTCCTTCACTCCTTCAACAAATATCTATTGAGTGCCTACTGCATACCAGCACTACTTTGGACACTGGGAATACAGCTGTGAACATGACACAGTTACTGAAGGAAATCTGTTTTTTGTTGTTGTTTTTGTTTTTTTAAATATGTCTTTGTTGATTTCAGAGAGAGGAAGGGAGGGGGAGGGAGAGAGAGAAACATCAATGATGAGAGAGTCATTGATCGGCTGCCTCCTGCACGCCCCCTCCTGGCGATCGAGCCCGCAACCCGGGCATGTGCCCTCAGTGGGAATCGAACCTCGATCTCCTGGATCCTAGGTCAATGCTCAACAGCCGAGCCAAGTTGGCTGGGCTGAAGGAATTGTTTTTATAAATCTGTTGGATCCTCCCCGTCAGAATAGCAGCGCCTCTTTTTCAAGCAGCCACTTTATGAAACTAAAGCCAATTTTCCAGTTTTCCCACCTCAGGCTGTTTTGAGGTTGCTTCTCAGGGAACCCCTCCAAGGCCTACGGAGCACTCACCATGGAGCCTCCCAGCAGCAGCCAATCTTTTTCATGTCCCTTCCAGCTACATCTGTTGATCAAACTGAAAACACCATTTTGGAGCAAAACCATGATGGCTGCCTTCTGTGTCATAAACAGACCCAACCAGGAGGCCAAAACCATCCCGGGGAAAATAGCAGCATCGTACTGGAACAAGTCTGGGGCTTCCCAAGGTAACCACTGTATGAGGCAATACTCAATTGTCTGCAAAAGTTTGGGTCTGCTTATTAAAATGTCAACATCAAACCTTACACTGTGCATGCTTCCTTTCATTCAGAGCACTTCTACTTTTTCACTTTTGCACCTGCTATGTGCCAAGGGTAGGGAGAAACTGATAATAAGGCCCAGCTTTTGGCTGTGAGCTGTTCACCGCCTGGAGGGAAAGGCCCGCAGAGGAGCAGAGCACGGCCACATGCTGTGCTTGGTGCTGTGGTGGGTATACCTGAAGGGCAAGTATCCATCAGGCTCTCAGTTGCAAGGGGCAGACATTCAACTTGAACCCTCTTGGTCCCAAGTGGAGTGTACTGGCCCCATGACAAACCAGGGCAGGGGCAGGCAGTGGAAGGAAGGGACCCAATGCCCTCGCTCCCTCTCCAGCCCTCCTCTCAGCACCCTCTGCATCAGCTCTGTTCTCCCAGACAAGGCTACGTAGCCCATTCTTGCAGACGCACCTCCGCCCTGCTACCAGAGACAAGGAGACTGTCCTCTCATAGTCCCATCTGTAACAGCCCAAGGGAGACTGTGGTTGGTCCAGCAGGAGTCACAGGGTCACCCTAGAACTCGCAGTCCCTGCTAGACCCCCATGGCCAGCGGAAGGGAGATGACTGCATCAGAAGAGAGAAGCTGTTAGGGGGGCAGAAGAAGCCCACCTGAGCTGGAAAGGGCACGCCAGGTAGGGGCCTGGGCAAGGGTGTGGAAGCATGAAGGGCAGTGTGGGGACCCCGAAGGCATTCAGGCTCATGGTCAGAGGCTGAGCTGGAACCTGGACAAGTGTGGCTAAAGCGAAGGGCCTCGGCCACTGCAGCCCAGCAGAATTCCCAAAGGAAGACTGTCTTCCAGGGAACACAAGGGCTGTGGGGTGGGAGGGCCCAGGGCATTCCCTACAAAGCTCCTGCAGCTCTGCTGCCACAAGGGCTTATGAGCCCCACACTCACCCCAGCCCTCTTTCTATACCCTCCTCTGATACCCAAGGGGATTGTGCCTGCCCCGTTCAAGGCCAAGCAAAGCAAGAGACCCTCACAGCACAAGTCAGAAGGCCTGAAAGTCATATAAACCCAAGCTCACTGAGGGCTGCGGCCTTTGCTGGCTCTGCCCATTGCACCTCTGGAAGCGGCCTGGCAGTAGAATTCTCCAGATCAGGGGGCAGAAGACCCCATGCAGCCACCCCGCACACTGGGCCACCTAGCATGGCCCATCCCCGTTCTGAGACTTGGTTAACCAATTGCACAAGGAGGATTCTTCAAAATCTGACATTCCCTCATCACCTGGGGACTTGATTTGGACACCAGATCTTCAAACCTTCAACAACACCCAAGTTAGGGGACCTCTAACTTTTACTTGGATGCCTCTAGTGACAGAGAGCTCCCTCCCTCAAGATATAATCTTTTTTATGTAGGGACACTCAAAGTTTTATTGAGCTAAAACACAATTACCTACATCCTACCCTTTATAGACAATCTTATCATAATAATAGGATCTGCCACTTATATTTACAAATCTTATTTCATCTTTACAACAATCCTATAAGGATGCCACAAACATTAAACCCATTTCATGGATGAGGAAACAGAGGCTCAGAATGGTTAAGTAACTTGCCCAAAGTCACCCAGCAAGTGATAGGACTAGAACAAGAGCCCAGCTCTTAACTAGTAGGCTATATTACCTCAGGCCACCCTTGGGCCCTGCTTCTGCCCTTGGGGGCCACTTGGAACAAAGAAACTTTTCTTTCATAGTCTCATTTTGCAAATCCCTGGGCCTCTGGTCTAGTCGGACCTTGCAGGGCTTCCCACCATGGAGTGAGAATGGGGAGAAATTTCAACACGTAGCCTTAAAAGGAGCAGAGCCCTTGCACTCCCCAGGTGACCTGACCCCAGTGGGGGAGGATTTTCACCCCACACACCATCCTCCACACCCTCAGCACTCCGGTACCCGAGTGGAAGTCCAGGATTCCCGAGTCTGGCCCAGCCCCCACACCGCCCACAGGCCTCACCCCAGGGAAGAGATCAGCAACCCCCATTTCCCCACCCCGGTTTAACTGTTTAGGGCAAAGGCAGCCCTGTAACATGCAACTTGGAAAATAAATTTCAAGCGTCTTTGTGATTGTGGGTCTCACCAGTTCCACCCCGATCAAGGGCAGAACTTCCCCGGCAATTTCCTGTCCATTCTGTGCCTCGGGTCTGGTCCTGACAGGCAGTTCTTGCCCAGGCCTGGGCGCCCCCTCGGCCTCTGAGACCCTCTTCCAAGAGGATGGGAAGGGAAGCTCGGCCCCCAGAGCAGGCGGCAGGCTGGGCCAGTCCCTCCACGAGGCCCTCGGTTTCCCCATCTACACCACGAGGGGTTTGGCCCACGATCCCCTCCAGCTCCGTCCTGGCCAGGAAAGCAGGCCCCACGCAGGGCAGACAGACTGGCAACGAGACCTTCCTGGCTCTCTGCCTCCTCTCCAAATTACTCCAGCCTCTCAATTTATGAGATGTTTATTTTCTGAGAAGTGGTGGCTAATTTTAAAGCTCTAAAGTCAAATCAGATTTCTCTATACGAAAAAGGTGGGGAATAAGCTCTGGTAGGTTGGGAAAGGAAGGCCGGCTGTGGTGTCTTCACCTTGACTTTATTCCTTGGAAACAATAAATAAGCAAGAACAATATACCAGAGAGGTTCTTCATGCAATAAAAGCGACAGAAAAGAGCCCTTCCCGCCCAACTGAGCAACATACTATTCAGGCCCTCGGGCAATGTCTCTGAATGGAAACTCCAATGGGCAGCCCTGGCCCCCCTCAGCCAAGCTCAAGACCCCTTAATATAACTTTCTGAGGGACCTTTCCTAGGAGGTGACTGGCTGATGGCAGAGACCTGTTTGACTTTTCCAGCATCACTGCGACATTGTTTTGGTTGCAGTGGTGATGCTTTCTGCTGCCTCTTCATGCAGATGCCACACTAACTGAGGTTTCCCAGGCCTGCTTCCCCTCAGGGGAAGCCCCCAACTCCAGAGTAATTCCACAGCAAATGAAGGAAACAGGGTCACATGGTGACCAGGGCCATGAGTGCCGGCTTAGAAACTCCTTGTACCCTGCCGTGGGTCATAACTAAGCAAGTTCAGTTGTCACCGGTAGCTGTCATCAGGTGAGGTCCCAAATATTTTAGCAGACAACTGAAGCCATATTGTTTTGGAATTAGCATGTCTGTGTGCATGTGTGTATAAACATATTTATTCTAATTGCATGTACTTTCGTGTAAATTGGGAGGCAAGGGTACAAAAAGCCAACAAAGAGATCTTCAGGGAGNCTCTAATTGCATGTACTTTAAATTGGGAGGCAAGGGTACAAAAAGCCAACAAAGAGATCTTCAGGGAGGTTCCAGGAAG